GCAGCTCCCACGAATTTCGCCACGAGCAGTTCAAGGATCACCAAGGGAGCTGAATGGCCTTGTTCCGTGATTTCGAACCCCTCGGCAAACGTGCGCCGAAACCGATTCTCGAAACAAGCCAATAAAGCCTGATAAACTCGCTTCCCCTCGCTAGTAATGACATTAGCTGACATTTATTGGAGCCAGATGATTACGTTCGCCTTTCAATAAAAGAGAAAAAAATCGATCGCTTAAACTCGATCTAACTTTTGAGAAAATCATACGTACAAACTTGGTCTCGTTCTAAATTTTTCTAAACCTCTACTTTGAGTTAAGTCGTGAGTTTGTTTGTTAACTCGAGGATAGCTTTAGATCAAGCAAAGGTTTCAAAACTGTGTGTAAAAGCTTGAAAATTGAAAGACTTTCCTTCGTATTTTGAAGATTCGTCTCCTTAAAAAGAGATTCGTCTTCTTAAAAATACGCGCGTCGCCGCAAAAGAATTCTTCTAACTCCCGCAGATTCACCCCCGTGAGGTGATAGCGATCTGCAAATAAACATTCGCAATCAGCGTCGAGCGTAGATCAGAAAAACCATTGCCAAAGAATAGTCAGGCACCGATACAAACGACACGAGTAACAACGTGCAAATCTTGACGATAGGCCGCCAGTTCGTCGGCTTATCGATCCTCATCGCCGAGAAATAAATAAATCTCGTTCGACGTGATTCACCGCGAGCGTCGTCCACCATTTTTCGAATCGTCCACGAAAAGAAAAGACAAGAAAAAAATATCGCGAAGGAGATGTCGAAATTACGTGGCGATTTATTTATTTATTTATTTATTTATTTATTCGAGCGTGAAAATCGGAGAATCCGGAGGATGGATCGTCAGCTTATGTTGGCGGCGCGTTTCAGGTCAGGTGGGAATGGCAAGAATTCCGGCTGCATCCCTCCCTCTCCCACCCTCGTCGATTATCGTGCTTTCATCCGGGTTTCGTTCGATACGTTGCTCCGCGCGTTTATCTCGCTGCTTCGCGATAAACGCCGCGGAGAATAAATAAATGATAAGCGAACCAGGATTCAACTAGCACGTGGGGACGGTGGGGGACTCGACCGCCGACTCGTTTCTCGCTCGATAAATTGTTCACCCGGCTATTATGCCAGTTCCGATCCCGGTCTGAAAATTAGAGAACATCCAGATTGCGCTGGGATCGATGGCGACCCCGATGCTTTCACTCCGTTTCTGTTTCTGCGTGCGTTTTGGTAATTTAACGAGGCTTGTTCCGAGCTTGGATCGATAGGGGAAACGTTGGGAATGATTAAGGGAATTATTGAATGTCGAAACGCGCATGTGTGTGTTGTGTGTGTGTGTGTGCGCTTTTTCCCCTAATGGATTAAATATGGAAGATATGTCGAAATATGTTTTTCTTTTCAAATGTGGGCCAAATATGGAAGAGATGTGAGCTTTCACAGTCGAGAGATTTCTTTTGCGTAATTAGCGAGCATGGTTAGATTATTGCAAAAGGAAGAAAAATATATTTTTATATTTTTTCTGAGATGTGTAGATATTTCAAAGATCTTTAAGAGATGGTATCGTTATAGATCCTTTGAATTAATAATTAAAGATTAATATTGAGGATAGATTAATAATGTAGGAAATGTGGTGAATATATAACACAAACTTCCGTGTGAAAAGAAACGAATGTCTTTATTTAATGAAATATTAACAATCAAGTAGTATATGCGATACAAAAATGAGGTAGTCACGCGGCAAGGACTGACAAGGAACTAAACTTTCTGTTCGGCATGATCCTGTCCGTAACTGTAGAGAATAGTGAGCAGAGGATAGAAAACAGATGTTAACTTTGCCCCTCATAAAGCCATTTTCCAGCCTTACACTGCTGGATGGTCGAGTCGTTGTATTCCAACAAATAATAATAATAATAAAGAAAATGTACATACGATCGTGCATCAGATTTAGTTTAATTACTAAAAATAATAATTGTTAATATAATAATAAATAACATTATTTAGTAAAAATAAATAATAATAATTAAACTGTCTGTCAGAAAGGAATTAATATTTCGTCTCGACGAAATTGATATTTTCATATTTCCCGAATTTCACTGCCTAGACAAACTCGAACTGACTCTAATATTTCTCTCTCTCTCTCTCTCTCTCTCTCTCTCTCTCTCTCTTTTTCTCTTTTGTTGGTGTTCTCTGTACTTGTAAAAAAGAAAAAATCTCCATGGAAATGTACAACTTACACGTCGTCATCTACAATTCCTATCCGCGGGTCTACATTTCCCTTTACTGTTTGTCATTCCGTTTGTAAAATGAAAGTGTATATTGGACAGAATAACGATGTCCGACGAAATAAAAACCGTTTATCACAGATATCGATACGATGCTAGAAACGCAACCGGTCGTATGCTCGCAGACTCTCCACTGGAATCGCGCTAACAAAAAAAGAAAAAAAAAAGGAAGAGAAAAAACAAAAAAAAAAAAAAGAAAGAAAAAAGAATTGGTCGTATCACGGTGAAATAAAAGTGTTTGCGCTGGTATCAGCGTTTTGCGTAAAACAAAGATCATCGATCAAAACAGAAACCGACATCAGAATGGCGAAACGAAAGCAATTCTGACAAAATCTATCTTTCGTATTTTATAGAATTAACTGATGCCAGAATTAACTGTGTTTAATTCCCGAATGTTTGCAAAATAATCGAAGAGCGTTTTTACTTTGATCATCTGATATGTCTGATAATTTTTATGAGATTCACCCGGGGGCAATTTAATAAAGTGAGGACGAAGAATTTTAAAAAAACGTTATCCGTTTATTGATCATGTCGTAACATAATAAAAATGTGTCATCGAATATATCGTTACGAACTTCATATTCCGAATGCGATTATACGCAACACAATTATTAATATTTATTCCTTGGAAAGAACATGTAACCGTATCACGCCAAAGTATAAAAGATTTTCAATAGTAATTCTACTTTATTGATAATTTAATTTTATATTAATTACTATTAGTTATATTTGATTACAACGTAGTATACAACGCGGTTGGCAAACAACACGTTCCAAATAAAACTTCTCTCTCGATTCCTAATGAATAAATAGCAAATAAGTCCTAATAAAAGCTTCCACAACTCAGGTACACCGAACAAATCCCAAAAATTTATTTCGTTATTTGCCGAAAGGATGAAAATTGGAGCGAAATATTCACATCAAATGGAAAACATTTGCAAATCCCCGCGATACGGAAACAAGAAAAAATGTTTATAATGTCAAAAACGAGTGGAATCTCGTATTTCAAATTTCCACAGATTGCAGGAAGCATATATACCAGTTTAAAAAAAAAAATTCGTTCATTTTTCCTCCTTCTCTGCTACAGTCACGGGGCCCTCGCGTTTTAACAAAGTTAAAACGCCGAGCGTAACGTGCGTCATCGAGCAGTGAAATTTTAATTGAACCGATATGGTCTGGGCTGGTTGAATTGTGTCATCCGTCGTACTCGAGGGGACACAACGCCGCGCGACGAGTAATGGTTCTAAGATCAAAGCGTTGTAACCCGTGGAGGACGAAAGGTTCTAGCGAACGAAATTTGCAATTCGTAGACGCGTGCAATGCGGTCGCGTAAAGTCACGTGACACCGGTGGCGCAAACATGGTGACCCGTTCTGGCGAACTGTCCCTTGAATCTCTGCCACTGTGTCGCTCCATGGCTTCTTAACACCTCGCCCATTTGCGAAATTGAAGCAATCTCGGAAACAACTGGACTGCTACCAACGCTAATAATCCTATGCTTTATGGATTATCTTTGACGTAGCGGAGTGCTTTGTTATCGAGGGTAGACATTTAAATTTTCTAACGCTGCTACATGTTAGGAGCACACGTAGCACACGCTAAGTAAAATTGGAAAATTGCATTCGGTTGTTAATGGATAATTATTAAATTACTTACGGCGTAGTAGTTACGGCGTGGAAATTATTTGATTTATTGTTATATCGTACAGGAGAGTATTCTGGATGCTGTTGAAGATTTCTGACGTTTCGTCGAATTATTCAATCACTGTGGTGTCCAATTCAGAAGTGAAACAAATAAAAATTTGAAACACTAAAAACATTAACAACACTAAAGTAAAAACAAGTATTTTATTCGTTTCTAATGAATTTCTACGGCTCATTTCTTATCGGTCAGATTATCAGATCATTATATAAATCTTTGATTTGTCATTCAATTAAACAGTTCCGAAATAAAATCTTCAAACATTTGTTAGAATACCACTAATGATCTAATTCACTTATCTGAACACTTGAGCTCTTGTTGTTTGAACAAACGTTGCAAGAATTGGTAGAATCCTAAATTTAATTATTATAAATTACACGAGCTTGATTAACACTGGAACTACCAAAATGGTAAAAAGGGCCATTTTGAATATTTTCGTTAGATATTTTATAGATATAAAACAGTATTTTCGGAGTACTTTTACTTTAACGTCTCCGATGTTTTAGGAAATTTTACCAGCTTTAGTCGTCAAAGTGATTTTAGCGTCAAGTAGATCGAACTCCTACTTCCCCAACAGTGAAGTCTCGAAAACGAAACAGAAATTGGCATAATTGTCTAGAGCAATCCAACTCTCTCACCGACACCGACACCTGAAACCCGCAAGCTACGGAGTCTCTCCGCCCCTCTCTCAACTTCGAACCCCATCATCCAGCTGGAAAGGTCCAGCTGGATAATTAAACTCCAGCTCCCCCGTGTGAAATCCGCCGGTCGATCGATTTCTCGAGCGTCACACGCCGGTGTGAATCCCTGCTCGAGTCGAGCACTGGCTCTCGTCCAAGAGCCGGTGCATCCTCGATGCCGCGTGATACTTCCGGCGTCCGCTTCCCCTCCCCCTCCCCCCACCCGCCAAACCCTCTTGGTGTCCCATCGAGTGTAGCATCGAACGAAAGGCGAGGAGGAAGGCTCGAACGCTCGGTACTTCTAAGTACATGCAGCAGATGTGCGTGCTCGTCGTTTGAAATTGAAAAATATCACTCACCGAGTTGACATCGATCGCCACCTCTGCCGAGGGGGCATTGACACCGTTGCCTGAAGGACCCTTGCTTCCGTCTCGGAGTCACGTCGTTCCCTTCGAGATCCATGGCCATCGAGGCGTCGTCCGACACGTCGTCGCCGTCATCGTCGCCGATCAGGTCGTCGCCGTCACCGCGGCTTTGCTCGATGTAGCAGTTGCCGGCCGGGCCGCAGTCCAGCGAGCACGCTGGCTCCGTGCTCACTATGCTCTCCATCGTCGACGGCAGCTTCTGCTCCAAATTCGGACCCTGAATCCAACCGAACCAGTCGTTTCTTCGTGAAATTTACGTTTCTGCGTGAAAATTGTTGGGCGAATTCTTTGTCTTTTTTTTTTTTATTTTTTTTTGTTTTGTCATTAGCGTAGCTTTGGGATCGGTCAAAGGGGAATTTTATTTTAGCTTCGAGAGAGAATGAAAAGAAATAATGAAAGGGATAAGAAAGAATTTTCAGTTTGCTTTTCTGCTTAATCAGATCGACATGGGCGAACTCTGTCATTTTTTTTTGTTTTTTTTTTTTTTTTTTTTTTGTTTTGTCATTAGCATAGCTTTGGGATCGGTTGAAGGGGAATTTTATTTTAGCTTCGAGAGAGGGGCGAGTAAGAAGGAGGATTGTCTTTTCTGGTGACAGGACAACAGACTTGAAAAGAAGTGACGAAAGAGATAAGAAATAATCTCAAGTTCGCGTTTTTTTTCAGGGTAACTTTGAAAGAAGGGTTGAGGTAACGTTGAAAGGTTGCTTCTCCGTTACTGAAGAAAGGAATTGCACCTTTCATTCTACTAGTGTCAGCGTAGCTTTGCAAGGAGACGAGGAAAGTAAATGAATTCTTTTGAATGATGTACAACTTCAAAAAATGTGTGCGAAACAAACGTGAAGAGACGAGAGTAAATTGTCGAAACAGGTATATAAAAACGAATCTCTCGGTAGGAAACGTAAATGAAGAAGACTTCTGAAAACAATAAAAGAAGAAGAAGAAGGACCGCGACAAATACAAAATAAATGAGAATATCATTCATCAAAAATGAACTTGTATTAATGAGATAAATACGAACACACACACAGATAGAGAGACAGTAGGGAAAATTGCTCATTATCTTTCAAACAAATTAAAGAAGGAGAGTATACTTTTGAACTGCGGTAATCTTCTGTCACGTCGGGGTGGCTTTGAAGCCTAAGAGACAACCAAAAAGAAGATGCATTTTCCAATGCCGGCATATAGCGTAGAGATTTAAAAGGAAATAGAGAAAGAGTTCGTTGTTTTTTCTTTCTTTCTTTCTTTTTTTGAAGGTGAGCGTAGCTTCGGTAGGGAAACCGAGAAGATTCGAGATGGCAGAAACGAAACGGAACTGGTGCACGAAGAACCTGTTGCACACGCCGCGACGTTTTTAGCCGGAAGACCGGGCGAACTGGGTTGGAGGAAGTCCGGGCTTTTTAAAACAGCCGTGTTCCCCTCACCTCCGCTCCGCTTTTCCTCTGTTCTTCTTCTTCTGCTTCTTCCTCCTCCTCTTCTTCTTTTTTTTTCTCCTCTTTTCTGTTTTCTCTCGTAGGAAAATGAGATTAGACGTGGATAAGGGACGTCGTTTCAAGAGCCTTGGAAATTTCATCGGGGATTAATTGAAATTAACGAAGGAGAGCCTCGCGAGGAACGCGTTTTATCTCGCTGCTCTTCTCGAAACGAGCATCCTCCTTATCTCTTTTCACATTTTCCATTTTTTTAGTTTCTGATCGTCGTGATTAACACTGACATTGATCACTATACGGGAGAATGGAATAACAAGTGGAATATAATGAAACTTTGAAGTAGCAAGCACAATGATGGATTATTGATAATTAAATTATTGTTTACTTGGGAATTTATTCTACATTCTACATTCTGGATACTGAAATTGAAAATGATTCACCTAGATATCTCCTGTTTTTTTTTTTTTTTTTTTTTCGTAGGAAAATGAAATTCAAAGTAGTCCTATGAGTCTTTGAAATCCCATCAAGAATTAATTGAAATTAAGGCAGAAGAGGCAATATTTTTCAAATTCTTACTTCTCGTCGAATTAATATTAGTTTCTGATTAATATTGCAATTGGTTATTTTGCAACAGGAATTTTACGAAACACGATGCACAATTTTGTTTCGAATAATAACGAATTAAAGTTCAAAATATCAGATGCCACGACAAATTATCGATAACTACGTGAATAGTCACCCACTTGGGAATTCCCTGTACAATCTCTGATATTTTCGTTACCGATATCAAAAACGACCCGGCGAGATAATTTTACAAGCGCGGAAATCGAACCTATCGATTCGATCAACTGAACTGCAACTGATTCGTCCGACGTAACGTAAATGTTCTAGTAGAGGAGATTCTTACGCGACTGTGTACGTGATTTTTTATCAGCCACGAACCCAAATTCGCTCTTTCTTGTAATACCAAATTCACGAAATATCACGGATCGTTCGACGAAATAAATATTTCACAAACTCGTTGTCAAACTCAACGAATTGTCTCGATGAAACATTTTATTTGCAACTTTTCAACACTGAGAAAGTAATTAATATTGCAACACTTTCTTCCTGCAGATCGTCTAGATTTTTAAACCAATTACTCGAAGATACTAAAAGCGTGAAACTTGCCAGACTGCAATGAGATTTATTTCACTTGGCCAAAGTGACCGATCAAAAGTTTCAATGTTAATTATTCCGTATTCGATGATTTTGCGTTGCGTTTTCGTTTCGAAAAACTGTTGCTCGTAGCTGGGGGAAAATTAATAAAATTTTTCGTGGCGATCGATGACCAGTGAATGACGGTTTCCAACGACCCGAAAGTTCAAGTGGGTCGCAAAAATGGATCGCAGCGAGCAAACGCAACAACTTTCCAATTATTTCGATAATCTTCAAGCCGTGTGATGCTCTGCGTTTACGTTTTTCCAGTTAATGAATGAAAAGGGAGGGAGATAAAAACGAACGCAGGAGGGAAAGAGAGAACGAAAGCGACGAACCGACGTGGAACGATAATAAACAACGGTACGCAGAATTGCGTTTCGAACGCTTTTGGACAAATCCCGGTCGGATATCTGTACACCGATGGCTGTTAGATCGATCATTGAGAGTTACAAGGAACGAAATCGCAGCAGCATAAAAAAAAAAAAAAAAAAAAAAGAAACGGGATGAAACAGGATTTGACATTTCGGAAGCGAGGATAACTTTTTTTCTGCATCGAGACTTACGACTCGCATTGAAAAAACCGAGTAGGAAATATGGAATTCAATTTGCACCGAGTTCCTCGAAAAGTGCGTGGCGAAATTTTCGAAAAGAAAAAAAAAAGACTGGAAGCTGTTGTATTCTCGTGGAAAATTCTTTTTTTCCTTTCTCGCGAATAACGATTCATCTTCTGCCGAAAAATGTTAGATTTCTCTCTTTCATCGCCACATTAAAATATTTATTAAATATAATAGAATCATAGAATACAATAGAATAAATCTGTCGATGAAAAATGCTACAAATTTTTTGAACAATTCGATAGTCGACAAAATGAACATTTGTATTAATTTGTCAATTAATAAAATCTAATAATAATTAGACACTAGAACAGTAAACTCTTCCGTACTTCTCTATAATTGTTTAAAAATTACAAGTATTTTTCTGAAAATTAACATAAATTTTTCTTTAGACAGAAACATAGTTGTATAAATTTATTTACTTCGACTATCATTATCTAAATTATAACAACTTTTACGTGGAATATTTTGATGCGCGTTGAAGACCGACTATTCAATACAATGTTAAACCATGCAAACAAACTGTTTCGAATAGGGAATGCTTTATCTATTGGATGAATAAAATAGTGTTATGTCGCTTATCGATCAGTCGCTTGATATAATGTTAAATGTGTTATCAATTTACGAAATAATTTCGAGCTTTGTTATCAAATAAATTTGTTATAAAAGCTTTGTCAAAATGTGTGACATACATCTTGATAAAAAAAAGAAATCACTCACTTGCGACGTGGCTCGAATCTCGACCCGATCGAGAGGGGCGCTAGTTTCTTCGGTGATCTTGGTGGAATTGGTGGTTGAATTTTCTGGCGGCGGATCCAGGTGTATCGTGAATGACGCGCCGCGCATGTAAAGGATGTCCTCGACAGCATCCTCGTCGTCGTCTGTCTCCTTGGTTAATTCGTCGTTCTCCACTAATTCACTCAGCTCGCCTGTCGACGGAGACGTCGAATTCAACTCTGGAACAAAATAAATTTCTAAAGGAGATTGTCTCGTGAAACGGGCAATTTTTACGTACGAACGAAAGCGTGAACTTAACAAAGATTTTCAAAACGAAAGTGGAACTGTATTTTCGAGATAAAAGTAATTCACGTTCTGGTAAATTTCTGGCGTGTCTAGTTTGAAAGATTTCACGAATCTTCAGAATGAGAAATGTACAATACGTACAATATTCTGAATATACAACATATATACAATATACACAATGTACGACGTATACAATATTCCGATTAATTCTGTGTGTATTTAATTTTGATTTAACGGAGCTGAACAATTAATTTTCGGTAGATGGTGATAGAATTTCCGCAAGTATCCTGGATTGATTTTGATAACACGGTGACACGATGCGTAGAATGCGAAACAAAAGATCGTAATTAAACGAAAGTAAAACACAGAGCTCCTTTCCCGACTAGCCAGCCAGCAGCTTCAATTTCAGCTCCTATCCGTTTCTACGTATTTACATCGTAAACAATTGCAAGATGATTTCTTGCTTTCGCGATCTTTCTCCGCGTCTGCAACGGATTCCACGGCGCCTATGAGAGTCCGGAATCTCATCGAGGAAAGTAAATGGCGAAGTTGAAGGAAGGGAAATTCGCCGGATATCTCGGGACTCGCCCTTTCTCGCGAAAAAGAAGTGTTTCATTACTGCGAATAGTACGTTAATCCCTGTTGATCTTAAAGCCTGATTTACGCGCTCCTTGATTCGTAAACAACGTTCGGCAACCCCGAGATTCGTCCGTAACTTCGACGGCTTTGCAAAATGCAAAGCGGGTGAACTTCCGGCCCTCCAACTTTCACGCTCGCTGCCTCACTGGCTTCGTCGTCGTCGCAAGTGATGGATCCTGACACTCGCTCGGATGATCGAGTTTTCGTTAATTGCCGCGAAACGAGATGATGAGGAAGCTCACGCGAAACTCCGTTAGATTCTTCTCGAAATTCTCGCTTACGCCAGCATGAATAATACGATGCATTCTAGTGGAATCTAGCGTTCGATTGATAAAATTATTACGATACGATTCGTCTGCTTCTATCGATATGCGAATCTTGGCAACATTTAATGATTTAAATGGCTTTTTAATAATTGGAGTAATAAATGAATAATATATAAATTTAATATATATATACAAACTATTATAATATAATAAAATTAATAAATAAAATTAATATATTGTAATATAAACTGTTATAATATATAATTAATTTATAATATAAACTATTATAATACAATATATACATATACACATATAAATTATACATATATTATTTTATATAAATATAAACATATAAATTATATATATATATTTATATAAACTATTATAATATAACATATATAATATAATATAATAAATATATATAAATTTACTATATATATATATAATTTAATACATATATAATATATATAAATTTACTATATATATAATATTACTATTAATTTACTTCTAATATATATAAATTTACCATATATATATAATTTAATACATGATTATAAACAAAAAATTTTGAAATATTTACACTAACAAATCCGTCACTAAATCCAAAAATTTAAATTATCAACAAACTGAATAAAAATCTTTTAAAACAGACAAAAATCTCTAATACTAATTTCATTAATTTCACCTCCAGAAACAATTTTTTTTTGCTAGTTTTTTTTGTGCATTGATATATTTTTATGCCACTTCTTTGTTCATTCTATATCACGTATCAATTGTTTACAATTCATTTACGATGTATTTACGTACTGCACAAAAGAGTTCTTTTCTCATTGATGACTTAAATTAATATCAAAATTAAATCAAGGATATTTCACCGCACAGAGGTGTTTATTTTACTTAAAGGTGTCTGGCCACATAAAGGTTTGTTCTACTTGAAAATAATTTCTCTCTAATGACGTCTCATTCCTATCAAAACCAATCCCACGCGACGAGATTGCCTCGATCCAGACGAAAGATAATCTAACCAGAAATATATAATTAAAGAACTATTCATACAAAATAAACAAACAATTAAAAAATTATTTGTTTATTACTCGTGATGTATTTACGATATTACGTGAAAAATATTCGTGTATTCACTGCGCTGCACAAAAGCATTCTTTTCTCATTTACAAATTAAATCAAATACCAAGACGAAATAAAAAAGAAAATAATCTCTCCAATTTTTCTCTAACGATCTCTCTTCTGCGAAAATGAACCCCGCGCGACGAAATTACCCCCGATCCTGGCAACGAAACATAATCTGATAACCAGAAATATGTAATCAATGAATCTATATTTCCTTCCTGCCCTTGAGAATTACCGCGAGTCACGTCAATTCGATATTTAATCAGCCGTTCGTCTCGATTAAAGCCGTGGCCTGGCTCAAGTTCGAAAAGTCCTCTCTCGGCGATCGTCGTCGACGATTGGAACGACAACGAGCCAGCCTCTTCACCGCGAAATGATTATTTCGCTGAGAAACCGAGCGTCGCATCCGAAAGGCTTATTAAATTTTTAAGTGGCCGGATTAACGGCGTGTCCTTCGGACAAGCCTCTTCGAGTAAGAGGTCTACACTGTGCACGGATATAAATCGACGGGGGACCGGGCACAAGGGAATCTCGCCGGTCGTTCGTCGAAGGTAAGAGGATAGCATCGAGGACTGTTCTAGCCGGCGAACTGTTCTCCAGCCAGCCCCGAAGCAGCGGCAATTAAGCACTAATTGCTACAATCGCAACCGAAAAGAATCACTCTGAAGACCACTCTCTTTCTCTCTCGATGGCGGCGTGGAAATCGCGGACGATCGACTGGCTCGATTGGCTGGCCGATCGAACGGAGTCGAGTGGCCGTGGATAGGCAAGAGAGATCGAGCGACTGGAAGGAAAACGGTGCGTTTTATTCGTTTGGATCTTCGATCGATCAAACTCCCTCCCTGTTGATTTCAGAACTGAATTTACGGTGAAAACCGTGGAATTGAAGTAATGGAGAGTAATTTAGTATTTTTTTTTTTTTTTTTTTCTATTTCATCTGTAATATTTGTACAGTGAATATTCGGACAGATAAGCGCGATTGTGATTGATACGGTGATGTTTAAAAAAATAAAAATGCATGATGAAACTTATCATTGATTTTTAAACAGAAATTAATAAGGTAATAAGGAAAGCTAGTTTGATATTCGTCTTGATTTCATTTATAATGTTAACATAGGAAAAATAATTTAAGAAGAGCGGAAATATTTTTCTATTAGATCAGGTCATGTCTACTACGCTTTAAATTACAGTTATATGTTTCCTTAAAAAAAAAAAAAAAAAAAAAGGATGATAAATTCAGCCTTTGCTTCGGGGAGATATTCAAGAAATTTCATTTCGCCGCATCGGTATTCAGTTAACAAACTTTCACTGAATACACAAAAATGGAAATACTAAAATATTCTCGACTATGATGCTATGAATGGTAAAAAAAAAAAGGGGGGACATCGATCGGAAACTAAACCAAACTTCATCCCATTTCTCTTAGCGTTTAAAATAAATAGGTTACTATGTCGTGATTAATCTGAAACGATTTTTATATATGTTGCACACGGTGAAAAGATGTAGCTTACGATTAGTCTATTTAAAATTCCACGTAACTATGTCAAATTAACGATATAAAGAAAATTATACAAAATAGAATCGCGGTAAATATTATAAGCCAGGATTTTATTTAATTGTATCGTCGGATTTGTTATTGAATTAATCAATTGAATCAGCAAAGTCGCAATTCTCTATACAGTGTTTATATTTCACTACATCAATCTAGTCAGTAATTTTTGTAATAATTTGAATAGATCTGTACCTATACATTTTGCGATAAATTATACACCAAAATTCCAGACGAAGATGTATAAACAAATAATAAGAAATTATCGTAAAAGAACTTGTAGAAAAAAAAAGAATAACTTATAGAAAAGGAAAAAACTTACTGAATGAAACAATTTCTTTAAAAAAGGAAGGAATAAGAAATAAAAATTTTTAGACACATTTCGAAGATGCTTCTTCTGTTCATCGTTCAGTCTGTAAAAGAAATCGGTGTTTGATTTTGCTGGCCACTTGCATTGACATCTCTTAAAATCATAAAAACAAGATCCTGATTTCTCAAAATGACATACAAAGAGTATTAAAATATCTCAAAAACATAAACTACTATACTCATATCTAATGACCTCGTTGTCGATGCGAAAATTAAAGAAAAATAAAAGAAGAAGAAGAAGAAGATCACAGAAATTTGAACTGGAGCTGTCTGGTAAATCCGCGTGCACAAGTCCCTCGCGATTAGTTTATCAATTCAATAACAACCGAATGTTCGTCGCACGAACGAAAGTGTGTTCCACGACTACGTTCCACGACTAACTAGAAAATGGCGGCTCGCGATTGCGCGATGTTTAATGAAACCCAGGCTTTTAATTTCGATAAATAGAGAATCGCGGCCGGAGTGTCGCGGTAGTGGCCGTTGAATTAATGAGAACGCACCGACACGTTAATTGAAACAGGCTGTCATTTTTCAATTTGCAACCACCGCGTTTGTTCTGGCGGAACGAATTTATTTTTATTTTTTTTTTTTTTTAAATTTCTTCGTCTGCTCCAGAGCACGACCATTTGATGAACAAAAANAAAAAAAAAAAAAAAAAAAGAAAAAAGAAAAAAAGGAAAGGAAACGAGAAATGAAACAACTGAAAAGAAACGCTGAAAAGATGGGAAAAAAGTAAACTCAGAGATCGCGTCGACGAATCGAGTACGAAACTTTCGTCGTGTGTTTTCGAACAGTGCTCGTTGGCGAACGAGAATTGATTCTACCAATGTATCGACAATTCTCGCGCATCTGATGACTATACATATGTATGATGTGTATTGCGTAACACATTTGTATTGTTATACTAATGTGTAATATTATACTATACATGTGTAATTTAATACATATACTATGTGTAATATTATACTATACATAGTGTAAT